TAGCCTGACTATCGCCCAGATGCTCGTGTGACGTCTAGAAGGATCCATGCAGAAACCGCCTGGGTCCAACGGTCTTCACAAAATTGCGCGACAGAGGCCCAGCTGATCATCGACTTCTTGGCGTCTTTGATCTTTGTTGGTTGAGGAAGCTCAGAACTCCGGTTTCTATTCTGCATTTGCACACTGAAATTCCGAGCACTCCGGTTTCCATTCTGCACTCGCATATATGAAATCCCGAGCATCGCCCTGTCCGAAGCACGTTGAGTGATGCGAACAGCATTTTCATTCTGCCTTCATAGAGTCCAAGACTCCGAGGAGTACGTCAAAGCAGTAAGAACAGCGCAAAGATATACACGGGTTAGATGTTCTTTGTCTTCTTCACTTTTCCCTCGATGTTCCTAAATGGTCTCCATGCGGCACGTTCCTTTTATCGGACAGCTCGTCTGATATTCTACCATTCCTGCTAGGATGAATTTTGAAAAAAGGGTATAGATTCCAGGCAGAAGACAGAATGGGCGATAGTTGCCAATCGTCAAGCCTTCCTTTTTATACAGCAACAAGGTCTGACTAATTTGGCAAATGCATTCCCGCAGGTACCTCGTGCGTGAGTCTAGCCAGGGTTTTGATTATAGCTAGCGAATGGCTCTTCGTATATTCTACTTTCTTCCTATCGAGACCGGTCGACTCTTTGTCGACCTCATGGCATGTCGAAATTAAGAAGGCAGTTCTGAAGGAAAGACCTATAAATCTCGCCTAAAGAGCGGGCAGGTAGACGTGGCTGTGGAAAGATGCGAGCCAAATCTTTAAATGATCTTCTCTATTGCTCCCCTTTGCGATGAAGAACGACGAAGGAAAGTCGTCTTGGTCTTGTAATTGGCGAAAATTCCGTAAGCACAGCAATTACACTCTCATCCTCGACAGCTTTAGCCAGTACTGCTGCTCTTCTCGCTTTCAGTACTTCCTTTATATCTTCTCTTCGTAGCCTCATAACAGGCGTTAATAGGTGTTTGCTTGCAGTTCGCATAATTCTACACTGGCGTACCAGGTCGATGCGACTGTGTTCCTAGCACTATGGTGAAGATATTCGACGGGCCGCTTGTACCTCTCCTCGATGTTGTCGATAATGAAATCTTCCCATGAAGTCGTAAAGGGAACGAAGTAGTCATAATCGGTGGCGAACTCGGGGCCCTGTTTCCTGAACGTTGTAGCTCGCAACGAAAAACAGACTCCAGTGCAGAGGATGCGATGATCAGATCCTGTGTAGCACGTTGGGAGACCACCAGAGTCAGTCAAGGGAACTTCTGGTTGACAATGATGTGATCTATTCCATCATGGAACATAAACGGGCTTCTGGTTCTGAGAATTGCCCTGGAGGGTATGGGCCGACATGTAAAACACCCTCGACAGTATTTCACCCCGTCCCGTGAGACCTAACATGGGCCTAACTGTTGCTCTTCGAGTTGTGACCTTCAAGAAAATGAGTCATCTGTTTAGAATTTTGCCAGGTCCATCTAAAACGCTTTCAGCTCCACTGCTTTGTAGCTTAATGAGGTAGGCAACGAAGACTGTTAGAGTTTGTGTTTGGCCCCATCTCAATCGCAAATGTCCGATGCGGGCTGCCAAGCTCTCGTACGCATTGTTTTCAAGGCCAGGGGTACATTGACGAGAACGACCATATCGCAGACGCCTGTGTTGCACGGACACCTCCGATTCACTCAAATGCAAGCTTTTGGCTCAGTCGATGGGAAGGATGCCAACTGCACACACGGGCTCTCCACACACGGTTGCCGGATTCACCTGCGAGGATACATTAGGCATATGGACCCAGCACAACAGAAACAAGGAGTATATCCCCAAACATCTGCGTTCTTTGGGCGACCACTGTTGACTTTTTTTCGCGATTTACCCCCCATCTGTCACCTGATGTCGTGCTACGTGACTTCGTCACTGATCGGCCAATCCTTCAGTGCGAGAGGACCCTCAGTGAAGGAGCTGACGAAAGAGTGGTACCGAACAATGATATCTGGGTACGCATCGTAAGTAGGCTGGTGCGAAAAAGATAGATTCTAGACCTTGAATATGCCATCAGATATGTTCTGGACGGAGGCCAGCCTATCGTTGGCAATCTGAACAGGTGCTCCATCAGTGAACGGTAGGACATCAAAGACATCCACGGAAGAGATGAATCAGGAATCAGGAAGAAGAAGAAGATGTGTCTTCAACCCTCCAACCTTCGACATAGCAATCTGCAGCGCGTTCTCCGCGTAGAGGGAGACTCAGATGACATTCTACAGCAGTGGAAGTTAATAAACCACCATGTGCTTTTAGGATGATCGCTCCTCGACTTTAAAGTGCATCGAGGTGCGATCTTGCGAAGGTCACAGCCACGAAGTTCGGCGGCTTCTGAGGAAGAAGAAAATGCCCACAAGCGCTGATAAAATATTCGAGCTAAGAATAGGCTGCTTTCATAGTCCGCCAGTGTGCGTGCCGGCGTACCGGCGTGCCGAGCCAGTGCTAGGGGGAGGAGGGAGGCAGACAGTCGGTCAGCCCCTTCGAAGGGCTAAAAACAAAAGAGAACAAGATTAAAAATCAAACAACCAGGGGCTTGTGCAAATGGTTTTTGATCTTGTCTCTCTTTGTTTACAGCCCTTCGAAGGGCTGACCGACTGTCTGCCTCCCTCCTCCCCCCTAGCACTGCCTCGGCACGCCGGCACGCCGGCACGCACGCCGGCGGACTATGAAAGCAGCCAGACATAGCTGCGCAGTTGGTATCCTGCACATCGTTTAGCCAACAGGTTGCATTCGAGTTAATGGGAAGTGTTCGAAAGGCGGTTCTGGACCGCTTCCTAAAACATAATCCCTCGTTCATTCTGGGATGGTCTAGCTAACTACCCGAAGTCAATCCAGTCCCCATGCCGGACCCTGGCAAGCTATTCGTGGCTACCCATACGCCAGAACAGTAGCACAAATGGACCTCCTTCTCTTGAATATGAGGCAACCCTCAATACGTCAGCGTTGTGTAGTACTGCTCGGGTGAGACTGCTAGAATCTCAGGGCCAAGACAGGCTGCCTATGAGGAGAAGGACTGAGATGGCAATGGCAAGTCAGACCGTGTCGCTGTATGAAAAAGGAGGCCCGACGATATTGGCAAGAATTTGGCAGTGGCAGCAAAACCGTGGCCCGGCTTTTTACGCGGCACCCGTCGGAACGCAAAGTGCTTACTTCGTGGTAAACTAGCAAGACCGTGTTGCTGTATAAGAAGAGAGATCCAGAGGACATTGGCAAACATCGCCCAATTTGCAGCAGGATTAGCAGAATCTTAGATGAAGGACAACCAGGCGAGCAAGCACGGTCTCTGAGGGGGTTCAGCACAATTAATCACCGGGGTGTTCCCAGTCAATGTACAAGGATCTTAGCGAGTTGGACGACAACTCCACGACCAGCAGTCCGCCATTCTATGAAGAAGTCATTGTCAGCGTCAAAAGAGGGGTTCGGCAGGGCTACAGCATTTCGCCCAAAATTTTCTGTGCCGCTCCTGAAAACGTCATGCATCATTTGGAATGGGAACACTTGGGAGCCGAGGTCGACAGCCGCTACTTAAATCACCTCCGCTTTGAGACGACATTGTGCTTATAACACCGATCATCAAGCAGGTGGAAGGAATACTGGCAGAATTCGACAGTGCCTGTGGAAAGATCGGCTTACAACTGAAGCTAACGAAGACGATGTTCATGTGAAACGGATTGATGCTCCTCTCACGCTGAACGGAACCAATATCTTCGAATGCTCTAGCTACGTGGATCTAGATCGAGAAGTCAGCATGATGAACGACCTAGCTCCGGAGCTGTGCAGAGGAAACGCCCCGCGTGGGGAGCATTTAATAATATCGAGATTAATGAAGAAGACAGAGAACATCCGGCTCCGCGCTCACCTTTTCGACACTGCTGTCCTTCCTGCTTCGATGTACGCCTCAAAGGCTTGGACTCTGCGAAAGCAGGATGAGCATGCTGTCAGCGTTACTCAGCGCGCTTTGGAAAGGGTGATGCTCGGAATTGTCCTATACACGCAAGTACAGAAGGGAAACCGGAGCAGTGTGGAATGTCACCGTGGGTAGACTCTAGTAACACTGGTGTATAAACGTTCAAGGCACAGTTCGCGATAATTCAATGGGCGGGTATGTCAATGACGTGTCTGCCTCTCATTCGATATCACGTCAGACTGACTGACGTGACATCGAATGAGAGGCGGACACGTCATTGACACACCCGCCCATTGAATTATCGCGGACTGTGCCTTTAAGTCGAATTTCCTATCAAGGAGTATAAGGTTCCTAGCGGAGTGTTTGCAATTACCTCAAGGGTGTCGGCTGATTGTTTTCGTTTCCCAGTGATGTATTTTCTCTTCTCTTTCTTCTATCCAATGGATTCTTTGCGTTAAGGGCCTATCACGGCGAACTAGTTTGTCGCGATCGCGCAAGGTGTTGTGGGCAACGGATGACGATCAATGTTGTGAAAGCAACTACCTGACACCGGTCGATCACTCCCTTCCCGTTACCATCTTAGCCGCTCACGTGGGGTGGTAGTTGTGACGATATCGCGCGGTGACCATTGCGTGAATGAAAGCCAAAACGAATCGAAATCGCCATGACTCACGCCAAGGCGTGGCGACTCGGTTAGCTGCCTCCCGGTCAGCAGTACGCAGGCTCCAACAAACACCCATGGCCGCATGTTAATTTCCGCAAATAGTTCCTGTCCGTGTGGAATTGTATTCGTTGAAAAGACTTCAGCGTAATGAACTTTGCTTTTTATTGGTTTCCACTAACGCTACTAGTATTCACTGTTAACTGATACACTGCCTTTCGAAGAAATTACGAATCTCCCTTATCGATTGTCTTGCCTTATCGCAACGGTCAGTTTTTATCATTCTCATCGCAAACGGCTGACGTGATGGTCCTCTTCCTACTCTTTTTTCATACCTTAGTCTGCACTTCCGCTTTCAAGGTTATTGATTTGGGTGGGCAGTGGGATTACTACTCAACCAACAAAAGCATTCGTGGTCATGGTGAGTATCTCTAACCTTTCTAGGATGCGTTTATTTGTTTTCATAAGTTCGCGCTTTGCGGCTTTTATTATGAGCTCTTATGAGCTTAATGTTTCAATATGCTCGTAAGAAGTAACGTTACCTGAAAGAATTTGTTGAGGTCTCGTTCCTGGCGATATCTATTCTGATTTATATCGTTCCAAAGTGATCTCGGAGCCTTTGTTTGGTGACAACCATCTGGATTTGGCATGGATTGGTGCGGAGAACTGGACGTACTCTAGAACGTTCACTGTTGATCCATCGCTAATGAAGGTTGTTGTGCTGAAATTGCATGTGTTGCTAGACATCTCACAGGATTTTAATTTGACGAATTTTTTCAGTATAGAACAGTACTGCTGCTGTTGAAAGGTGTCGACACAGTATCGACAGTGACTCTAAATGATGACATTTTATTGAACACAACTAACCAATTCGTGGAATATCACGTTGACTTATTTGGGTCCCTCAAAACGAAGAACACTATCGAAGTGCGATTCACCTCACCAGTGCTATACGCTAAGGAAAAATCAGATGAATATTATGTGAGTAGCTCAGTTCGCTAAATTATTCCACTAAGCTTAATGGTTTTTAACTGTTTAGTATTTCGATTGCTATTTAACCTTTTTGAAATTAACTTCAGAAAGCGACCTTTCACAGCGTTGGAAAAGTTGGAATAGGTTGGCAACGAAACACTGGGTTTTTTTCCTAGTACTTCGCACATTCATCTGAAGGGGTTACCGCCTCTTTTCAAAATGAGTTATATTTATAGACCAGGTGTCTGAGTATAGGGTCATTTTATGATTAAAAACTTCTGTTTTTGTGTAAAAACAATCGGTTGTGCATTCCTAACATATACGCAACTCCTTGAAAACCCAGTACTATACAAGAAATGATGGTGATTCAGTAGCTGGCATCCTTTTCAAAGCATGTTCAACATTCACTCGGTAGAGATTTTTCTTGGGTTTGTTAGGTGACCTCTTATATGAGTGATTCAAAAGCAAATACTGAAATCCATGAAATTCACCCACTGTTAACGATAATGAGTGCAAATGGAAGCTGGATTTGCTCGCACTTCTCTTACAGTTGCGAATAGAATTGGCCCCACACGTGTGAAGTGATCCCACTGGCACCAAGCTTAGCCCTATCGCTTCATGACGAGGCACCAAAGGCTGAAAGTGAAGCGTGCTTGCTGCTCCCTGCGCATTCTGATCTGTAAACTTCCAGTCTGACTTCATTATTACTGGCGTTTATCCTTACATCCCTCTTTCTACATTTTGCTTCATAAGTTGTTTAAACAAACCATATGGATAGAGTGGTAATGTTAAAAAGCAGAATAGCTCCCTGAAGACCGAATGTCATCAGAATGAATATTTTTAGTTCATACGCATAAGCTCTTTAATATTGTTTACTCAAAAACTCAAAAACCAAGGCTACATTGTCGTCTTTTGTTTTTCACACCAATCTCATTAAGCGAAATCGTGGACATCTCGTTCCACCAGTCTGCCCACCCTCTATCTACCATGGTGAATGTCATCCCAATTTCATCAGGTAACTCGATTTGTACATTATTTATTCTTACTCCTCTAGAAGATTTCTTATAAAAACAGTTCTACGGAAAAGAAACAGGAGATCTGCTTATCCTAATTATTTTTGGAAGTGGATCTGATGCTACTTTGATTCGGCCTGGACAGCACCTGTGATGATGATCATAGTGATTAGGCAACCATGTGATTATAGTATAAAGGACTTCTGTTTTATAACAGGAAAGCACAGTATAGCTTCGGCTGGGACTGGGGACCTGCGATCCCAACTATGGGTATATCGAAAACTATTCAAGTTGTTGCCTTCAATGAAGTTTTCATGGATGACTTCTCGTGGACAACACAACGAACTCAAGGTTATTTTTGATTTACAAAAGTTCTCGCGTAACTTTTAAAGTTTGAAGGTTTTCGAGTGACTGTTGCATTGATAATACGCTAATTTATTTTGTTTGTTTGCAAGTTTCGACCAATCTCAATGTTCTGCATTCATTCTTCTTCATAGAATATTCGAACCGATGCAACCTCCACGATCCTTGTCTTTATTTTAAGACTCATGGTTGATTCATGGAGATGTGAGAGTTTTTACTGGAGGAAAATATTCCGAAGTGACCGTCGTAGTGGTTGTCGACGACCTCCAAGTAAGCGGCGGAAGACGTTTCTCAGTGACATCTACTGACACAGTGGTGCTGTTGCCATTCACAATTCGCATACCGCGATCCAGAGTCCAACTATGGTGGCCTAACGGTGAAGGGGAGCAGAGACTCTACAGAATCACTGCGAAGGCTTCTGCAGGATCGTATAAACAAGGTTCCATATTTTGATTGTAATCACTTGCTGTATAGAAATTACAGTTTAGAAAGGAATTACAGTTTAGAAATCACGCATCATATCGGTTTCCGCCATGTGGAGCTAATTCAAGATTACGTCGACGAGACGGATAAAGCTAAAGGGCGACACTTTTACGTTAAGGTCAATGACCGTCCAATTTTCCTCAAAGGTTTGCCTTCTTGTCGCCTTTGAAACATTTATTCCTTGAGATATGCTTTTTAGCTTCGTCATTGTTGTAGGATCTAACTGGATACCGATTTCTATGTTCTTACCGCAAAATAATTCCGAACGTATGAAATTTCTTCTCGATTCTGCTGTCGAAACTGGTCAGAATTAACACAATTTTTTCTTTTTTCTAAGTGAAATTCAATTTGATCAGGTAACCTCATAGTACACCATGAAGTCTGTGAGGGTACCTAATCAAATTGAATTTCGCGTAAAAAAGGTGTCTCGAATGGAACACCATTCCAAACAGTTTTGAATGGTGTTCCATTCCAGACTTGATCAGCCTGTTGTGGATCACTTGATATATGGGTCGGCGAATTGTGAGGAGCCATGAGAAATGAATGAAAAATTCTGTCCAGACCGCACGGGTGGGTACTATGCTTTCTAGATAACGTAATAGTCAAGATGAGTTGATTAAGCAGGGGAAATTGTAACTACACTTGTAACTACATGATATATTTATCCATCACATTGCTCCCTCCTTCAAGCAGTTTCCACGATTTCGTATCAAAATTGGAGTTTGTGGTCTAGTCTTTACAGTTTTCATTGCTTTTTGCAGGGATGAATACTTTGCGTGTGTGGGGTGGTGGCGTGTACGAGTCAGATGAGTTTTACGATTACTCTGATTCCAAAGGAGTCTTATTGTGGCAGGTACGTCTCAACATGCTAGTATAACTAAGGTACTCCTAAGTACTTACTATATTTTTGCTTTTCCAAACAACGGTTTGTTTCTGTATTACTTCCATCTATTTATAGTTAAAGGGCACTCCATTTTTTCTGCAAAATTGCATCTGAACTTCTCCAAATGCTTTTTTTCTAGACCCTTTCTAGACCCATTTCGTTCCAGACCGCTGCCACCCCCTTCAAAGAGCGTTTGACCCATCCTTTTAATTTGTTATTAAAAACTGTCGTTCAAGAGAGTGTTCTTCCATTCTAGAGAATGGGTTATGGAAAATACCAAATGAGTATTTGACCTGAAGGCAAAGTTAGGACAGTGTGTTTTGATGGCGTTAGGGGTTCTATCAGTCAGCGTTCGGTCCGCTGAATGTTAACGAATAACTACGAACATTAAAGGAACTCAGAAGGGCAACATAGAACCGACGAGAAAAAAATATCGAGCACGGGGGTGAGATGTCTCTGCTCCTTCGAAAATGCATCGGCAGAGATAGCGATAGAAAAAATCAGTTTTCAAGTTCCTAACTTATACGCTGTAATGAGCGAAGCAAATTAAGTCATGTGATAAGTATGTTGGGTCGCTTGAACCGGTTTTAAGTTTTGGATGTATCGATTCTTGATCGATGGCCATAATCTGCTACGTGGCATGGTAGATTATTCTTGTAGAGTCCCCACAATCCTTCCACTTAATTGGCTGAGTGTGCCCGTTGGTTTGTACATGTGTGTGTGTGTGTGTCGGCGTGTGTGTTCATCAGTAAATCAATGACTCCTGTTCCCAAAGGGCTAGAGCGTTCAAACTTGGTAGGTGTACAAGCGTGAGGATAGAAACATATTAGGTGTGTGCATTAGTTTCCGCCGTCGAATTCCAAGGGACGTTGCGCGAACCATGTTCGAGGTTTACCGGTGAAACCTGTCATATTCTGTAAGATAGGGTACTGGCTACCTACTTAAGGGCAGACAGATCAGTTTTTTCCCAAAATCAAGTTGCTCTCAGACTGTTTGGTCATGGAACGTGATAAACCGTTTTCCTGGGGGCCCTTCTCCTGTTGTTTGATTTCAGGAAAACTGGCACAATGAAGCCCACCGGATGCTTTTATGGAGGATAAGCTTCATCTGAACGAACCTGCTGAGATGGTTTCTCTTCACTCGAGAGTTTGCAACGAAAGCGTAATGTCCCTCGCCAAAAAGTAATGGTGTGTGTGTGCATTTGATGGTGGGATCAAAAGGGTGTTGTGTACTATGAGTTGCTGAGCCCGAAGAAACTGTTACGGTTGACCGCTACGAACACCAACTCGACAGTTCATAAGATGCTCTCACCTAATAGCAGCCGTTAATCGCAAGAAATATCGTGAGGTGCTGTTCCACCACTAACAGCCAGATCCCATGTTGCGAAGAATGTCCTTATGAAAAAATGCAGTTGTTGGATAGGATCAGCTTGTTCAGCCCGCTCTCTCCAGATCTTGCTCTTTCTGATTACCACCTATTCCGGTCCATGCAAGACAGTTTGGCAGATACACGCTTTCGGAATGCCGAAGTGCGAAAATGGGTGAACAACAGGATTGCTTCGAACGATGAAAACCTTTTTAGACCCGGAGTCAACAAGATACCAGAAAGATGGCAACAAGTTGCAGCTAACGATGGGCAATACATTGGTCGATGTACATTTAGGTTTAATTTTGTATTAAGTATGTTTTTGCACGCAAAAAACGGCGGAACTTAAAGGCACCGTTCACGATAATTTCGGGTAATCCAGATTGTGATGAAAAATGGAAGACAAGATCGAAACTAGTGCGACTGAGGTGAAGAAACTGCGTGCATCGGTGTTTCCAAAGTGAAAAAATGGCTTCGAGTAAACGTTAAAAAGGGGGCTGGACGAGAATGAAACCAGAAAAATGAATAAGAGTGGGGCGTCCGGACGAGCAAAACAATGTGTTTCACTGCGCGCGTGTGGGTCCTGGTGCGAAGAACAGACAATGGTAAGCAAAAATTCATTCACTTATAAGCATAAATAAACAAAAAAAACCCTAGTAACAGCAAAAGTAGCTCACCTTTCTCAGCCTCTAGGAGTAGGAAATTAAATAAGGGATCGCGGCAGCAAAAAGAAAAACAGAGGAAAGAAGAATGGGAGAAAAACATCGCCTCATCACTCGGCGATTAGCTGACTGTGCGTGGGTCCTAGAACGAATAATAGCAATCTGTATTGTCTCGACACTCGTCTAACGTGACACCGATCGAGTGGCGGGAACGCGAACTACGGCAACAACGGGGCTGCCTCTATGCCCTGGACGTCGAGA